AGTCGAAGTGGGCTTACGGCTTACGATGACATGACAACAAACTTCAAAAAACTTTGGTGTCCATATAGCACATGCCTGTCCAGGAAACATGGTTCCCGCACGCATCATGATAAATACATAAACGACAGTTTAAACTATCAGTATAACATTGCATATCAGCATTTCTTAGCATCCACCTCACCAATCCCAAGATCCGATATCAAGAAAAACATCTCCTGGTGCCAGCTGCTCCTTTCAGTGTGCAGCTCTCTCCGAAATCAGCTCCTTCCTGCCACGCAGACTGAACATACAAACCATGTGAGGAGTGGAGCCTCCAAGGGTGACAAGGTAGCAAGTTGGTGGCCGCTTTTCTTGACCGTGCCACGCCCACACTCTGCCGGGCAGAGCCGGACCATTCTCTTCCCTCCCCCTAGCGGCGCCCGTCTCTCGCTCTCTGCCTCTCGCTCCCTTTCTCCAAAGGTCGGCGCCTCTGGTACATGGTACTGTGCTCCATCCAATTTTAGCATGCCCTCCTGGCAGCTGTCAATCTTCCTCGCTTCCTCCGGAGCGGCGAAGATGAATTGAGTGTCTTTGGCTGGTTGGGAGAACTTAGGTGGAACATGCATGCAGTACCTGAGAAGGGAAAACAAACGCCAGTAAAGACAACAACTTTACATTGCATCTTTTGCATTACCAACTCACCAAAAATGGCATCTGCCAAAAAGTAACACCACCAGCAGGCTGACGTGATTTTGAGACACGGAGTCGCTTATATTTTTGGAACCGAACCTGACAACCAAGAATAACTTTAGTAGTGGAGGCTGGGTGTTCATTAAGGGACATTCCAGGGTTAGCTGGCAGTGTGTCAGGTTTCATCAGCGAATTTGCTGAATCACCAACCTGTAAAAACATTGGGGCTGAATGAGTAATCATGAGAACATAAACTGATTGAAGCTTTATGCACTTCAAATTGTGCACTCTACCGGTGATCCTGTTGAATCCTGCTGATTCTGGTCTCCTAAGGAAGGAATGACTTTCCAGCAGGATCTCTGTACCAAACTTTTGGGCGTGCACAACCAAGGCCTTGAGTGCTTCCGGAGCTGTCAGACTAGAAAGTGCTTGGTTTAGAACTTAAAGCTTGCCCTCACTTCCTGCGTTTCCCATGTATTCTTTCTCCTTGCAAGGCTTCCCCAAGTCGCACCTTCTCATCATTCATTGCCTGCGCCTTCCCTTGCATAGTCATAGACGGAGGCACTTTGTCCTGCAAAAAGGGTTCAAAACTTGAGAACATTAGCTTTCGCTTCTCATGGAAACACATGATCATGCCGTCTTACGGTGAATTAATGCCAAAATTGACTCTGACTTCATTTTTGAAGTGGCAAGTGGTCCCTCTTGTCAAACACACATATTTTTCGTCTGGCCGCATTCCGGATAAGATACATGTTCAGGTGATTCAAAAACCGGTTCAATTAATTTCGCACATTAAGATGTTGGCTGTATGGCCGAATCCAGCACCTCCGCCAGTGGCCGTCCGACTGATTCTGCAGAAGGTTCTTCAAGGTCATTGTGTCGCAAGTCCTTGAGCACTTTAACATTCACCGACGATTTCATCGATGGAGGTCAATTCCAAGTCTCGTCAATCAACAGCTGTCCCCGCTATAGGCTGATACAGACTGAGGGTCTATCCTTTCTATATAGAATCCTCTCTCTCTTTATATATATTTATATGTACCTGAAGCAAAAAAATAGCAAAAGCATATCCTCTGGACACTGGCACGTGACAATGGGACTTATATAGCTTTTCGCCAAACTTTGCCCACACATCAGCCCCGAAAAACTGCGACTGGTCCTCATTCATTGGCCGCGACTTTTGCATCTTTCCAAGCAAAGGCTCTTTGTCCTTCTTAGGGCTCAGTGTAAGGAAGTGATTCAGCATGTAGGTGGTCATACATTCATGCCATGAACAGCCAGCTTACAGTAATGCATCTCGATCTGAACACTGAAATGCTTCAAGTGTATTCAAGACATGACATCTTTTTGTGTCCTCAACGACTTGGTTGAAGAGGTTGAATTACGTAAAAAGCACTTGAAGGCTGCCGACATCTGTAGCAACACATTGATCTGGCCAGCGATTCGAACATGTTGACTTAGCTGCCTCTGCCCGTGGTCGTCCAGCCACCATCGGAAAAGGTTCTTCAAATTTGTCATATGGCGAATCCTTGGCACCGGCTGCAAAGCCAAAGCCAGGCTGTTTGATGCATGTAGCAAAACACCATGAGGCTGCTTGGGAGATGAATGACTCTTCCGATGCACAACATTTCCCCATATAAGTTCCTGGCCCTTTGCTTTAAAATGCTCACAGTTCAAAAGTCACGCACCATGCAAACTACTAGCCTATTTCGCCTGTTTGCTTGTCATATGATGTATACGACAGTAGACACACACCGATTCCACACTGCTTCCTTTCAAGGTGCATCTTCATGTCCAACCAGTTTGCTGAGATCTTCCAAATCCTCATCCTGCAAATCCGACACGTCCGAAACTGCTAAGGATGCACGCTTCCCATGGACGAGATCTATGTGTGCTCTGCTGGAGGCATCAAGATTCACCAAACACCCGGAAGGACGCTTTCTATAGTCTATAGGATGCTTGCAACTTTCCACGCCCGGAATCCCTATAGAGGTGCTTTCTTCCCTAAGGTAGGAACATTCTCGCGCAAGTGGGGTTATTCCAAACTCACTTCTAGGTATATCAAAATGACCCAAAGATGTAATTAGTGTGCCAAGCGAATCACGTCCAGGTCCCCGGTCCTGTGATCCATTCGTTGCGGCTGGATCCTCTGTGAGCAACACTGATTGAAATACCTTGGCGCTGAAGCGCTGCAGTGGAACAAATCCTATCTGAGATTCTGAGGTTCCAAATGAAGTAGAAGTAATTGGGATTTCCTCCACCAACTATTACTATCTTGTTTTAACATGATTGGAGGTTCCAGGCGGGGTAGGACGGATATCTTTCACCAACTGTAGGAATTGTGATGTTTATATTAATGGGTTCGACTTCGCCCAAAAACCTGACTAACATAAACTTTAGCGTGTCAAATCTTACAAAAAGAGTGTCCACATATGTCCACTCTGCTGGAAAAAGCAAATATTTCTTCGTCGAGCCATAGGGTTGATGGATCCTTCGCACAGGAACATAAGGCAGCCAAGTTACACTTGGCCTTGCTGCGAATACATAGCAAATTAGAATGAAATGACATACACAAGCGAGAGCGACACCCAAAGGTGTCATCGAATTTTGGTTTCCATGAAGTCGAAAATCAAGCAACTTTGAGTTGATTGGGCCATCGTGGCTTCATCGCAAAGGCATTCAAAGGATTCTTGCACTCAATGAGAAAACCTATCTGACAATATGAAGGCAACAGGAGCATCTATTAACATGTACTAAGAACACCGAACTCGCCTACCAAAGTTTTACAATCTAGCATCCTCTGGCCGCTAACTGCCACAAAAAAATGAGCCGCGTTTTCTCTACGGAGGGAGGAGAGGGGTCCAAGTGATGAGTGATAATTAGTAATGACAAATAACATGTAATAACATATTCAACACGCACTGCGCCAGGCATCCTTTTCTCCCCGAGCACTTGGCACACTGTGCCACGGTCCTCCCAGTAGCGATCGCCATAGTTGAAGAAGAGCTCCTCTCCCGCCTGCGAGAAGGCGACATGGCCATTCCGGCGAGCTGCCGTCAGCGGGGTGTCCTCACCCTCCGTGCAGTCCTATAGAGGAACAGGTGCCGGTGCCTGGCTGATGTGTACTTCACCACAGGATACACAGAATCTCCTCACTGCATGAGTTCCATAAATGACTCAGTAGTCGTGCCGTTTGAGAACCCCGAGCTTGTGGTGCGAACTTGTTGTAGGGTCTGACATTTAGGCCATGGGACAGTAACTTACGTTGACAATTTACTGAAACCCGTGCACCGTTGTTTATCGTGATGTCACCGCATGACCGCAACTTCGCTTCTTATGCTTCTCATCTTGGGGGTTTGGCCATGCATCTTCCGCATGGGCGGTACCAGTGCAACATCTGCCCCACGGTGTTCATGGTGCAGCATCAGACCATTTCTTTCAAAGTCCATGGCAAAAAGTCCGAAATGGTTTCAACCTCAGCAAAGGTTTCTTCTATCAATACCACCTTGAATTCCAAGCTCTCCAACTAGATCTTCTGCAAACTTGAAGGCTACCTGAGTGAATGAAGGCTTAATTAACATTTCTACAGGCCCCGTTCTACTCCAAACTTACAATGACTTGTGATCCTAGGCCCTAATTTCCACTATCGCAAGTGCTTTTGGGGGGAGCCGGACCTATTTTTCTCCACATCTGGCCATGCAGGCAGAAGAAAACAGCTGGACCAATGCCATCCCCTCCTCTCGAGGGCCGGTCCTGAATGTGGCGGGTGCTGAAGAGCTCCGCGAGGTGCTTTTCCGGGCAGCACACCAGTCGCAAGTTGTAGCCCTCGGGGTTTCCTCCGTGCGAAGTCTGGACTTCAGAAGATTGGGTCCAGGGCTACTGCCTCAAGGAGACGATGTTTACCAAGTGTCGAAGGGTGGTTGGAATGGCAAACGGCCCCATCTCTGGGACCTTTAGCACCCAAACTCTGGGGTTGACCACCTGCCTTTTGTGCCATATATATATGATATGATTATATATGATATGACCATCTCTGGGGTTGAGGAGTCATATGGCACCTTTGGACATCGACCCCCTGAAAGGTGCACCGATGTTTGCCAACCCACCTGCCTGTAAAAGGGGGCTTCCAGAGCAGCTGGGTGGCAACTGGGCGGTGTGGGAGAGCGTTCCATTCGGCACTCGGCGCATTCCACACACCCTGGTTCAGTCCTCCACCCTCCGGCCCGTACGAGTGAAGCCCCTCGTCGCATGCGATCGCTACGCTACGAGTCAACGACCTGGACCGGCCCTCAAGAGTTAACCCCGCCACGCTTGACAAGTCCTACCAGGAGTCAGTGCCTGGTCAGTTCTACTCCTACTCTTCGAGTCTGAGTATTCAAGGGGCAAAGCCTTTGCAAAAGCCCCAATGGCCAGACCGAGCTGCTGCAATCGTTGATGTACCTGCCCTTCACCGCCAAATGCGGACCCGCATCCACATACAATGCGCTGCCAGCAATCTCGTCACCAGCGGCGGAAGAACCCAAGCGCATCACATACTCCTGGTCCTCTCAGGCAGAAACAACGCAGAATTTGACGGGCAACCTTCCCAACTGGTATCTGATCACCTGTCAAAAACACGCGACAGTTCAATCTGCTTCATGTATATTCCTGAACCAGCCTTGCAAGACCAAAGTTACATTTGCTCTAAAACCTTGGGGGGCAACTGGGCACACTGCAGATGTCGCAATGTTAGCAAGAAAAAATCAACACTCTACAAATCAGGCATTCTTCGCCCCTATCGGTGTCTCCACCCTCTTGTGAGCATGATTGAAACACTTTGACAACATTGACAATATCAAATACTATTTGACCTCTCAGCATCTCAAAACCTATTCACACCCATATTCACCAAACAGGCTGCTGACATCGACTTCCAAAGCACAAGCACAAGACCGCCCGTCCTCGACGACCGAATGGCCGAGGACGTTCCGCGGCCGAGCGCGTTCTGCGATCGGAGTCCTGAAGCTTCATCGAGGACTTCAGCGTATGGATGTTTCCTGTCGGCATTGGTGAAAAAAAACACAATGGCTTGTCGCGACATTCGACGCAGCGCACGGCGGTGACGGCAGTGGGGGGACAATGAAGAAAGACGATCGTAGGCTCTGGAAAAAGAGAAAACGCCTCCCAGCTGATTCTTTATCCTGCATGGCCCTAAAAATGTTTGAGAACTCCACCAGTGAACGCCAATTGGAGAACTCCTCAGAAACATTTGAAGACTCCAGAAACATGTGCTGAACTGCAGCCCCCCCAACACGACCGCTTGCCACGCCTCCATAGTGTGCCACCAGCCGGTTGTTTGGCCAATCTCGGGTGGCAAAAAGGCCCAGCCCTGCTTCCACACCTGTCCCGGATGTATCAGCAGTCAAAGACTTGGCAAAGGACTCTGTTGAAGTTGAACAAAGATTGCGTGGTATAAAAATGAGACAGGATTCCACTCCCATGTTTCTTCAACAAGTGATATTATCCATGGCACCTCCCGCTTCTTTGCTGAGGCATTGGTCGCACTGATGCTTGTATGAGCTCCTGCCTCCTACCTCCTTAAACACCTCGGATCCTTAAACATGTTCAATATGCTATCAATAAGTGTCTTTCACAATTCTTCAAACATATATATGATTGTATACCCGCTGAATAATGCCAAAATCGTTGGACTCAGGACTTTAATTGAACAACTGTAGTTAAAATCCTTCCGGGCTGACGTCATTTCATATGTTTTTGTTCCAAGATAAGGTCGACGCTAAGTTTTTTTGACTGAGATTCCGTCGTGTTAAAATCCTCGGGCCGACGCTTTAGTATAATCCTTTCCCACCCCTTGATGATCGCATCTGATACCAAAATAATAGGCTTATTTATATAAATCCTACTATGGGTCCTCGGTCAATGAAAAACATCCGGTGTGTCTCTTTTCACTCAAAAGAACAAATATATTTGATATATATATATATATACAATATATATAAATATATGTGTTTCAAGCAACAAACTGCTAATGATGCAGCTGGCCACGGGCAGCATCATTCAAACCACGTCAACTCAAAACAGGAGTAAGGATGCTAACATTGGCATGTGCCTCGGTTACCTCCTTAGTTACTCGATGGGTAGTATATTAAAATCATACAGTGACCCTGTGTAACCAATGACAGGCAGGGAAAAACATGCATTACTAAATTCCTGGCCTAACATACCATGTGGTCATCAATTTTGCTGGTATGTTGTTCTAACATTTTTGTTAAATCTGGTTCCAAGGTTGAGCTTTTCTTTGTTGCTAGTTTTTCGCGTCGGATTATTCTCCTGGACGCAGGTGGTTTTCAGGAAAACGATAAACTATTTTGGCCGGGGTTGACCCCTAGGATTTTAATATGGATTATCTAACAGGTATGATTATATATGTATTATTTTGCAATGTGCAATAAACAATTAATATAGCTAACACTAACATGTACTAACATAGTACTAACATCCTTACTCCCCACCTAACTAGGGTTATAAAATAATCCCAGTTCACTTCTGTTTCAAGTTTCCCGATGTCTTGGCGTCTGGGATGTCTCTTCTCAGACCCCACCTAGCCGCGAGTCTCGCGCTTCAAGGTGATCATCGTCGAAGTCCATGGGCAAAGTGGACCAAAGCCTCACAGATCTGGAGGATTCTCTTTTATCTCTTTTTTGGGCATAGCTTATTGTAACGTTTTGGCAAACAATCCATGCTGTCTTGGTATGTATAATATATAGATTCTAGAACATCTGAAAGCTCTTGAAAGTCCTGGTGTTTGATAGATACCTTCCAGGTCGAATTCAAAGCAGCCTGTGCTGAGCCTGTGGGGCCCGCCTTGGCGCATGTTCTTCGTTGTCAGGCTTCTGCGTGAATACTCGGGTACATACAGGTGTGTACCGGTCAACGTCTAAAAGAACAGCATGGCACAACAGTGTTTCACCTCGTCCTACTAGGTCTTTCATGGGCGGCTCTACGTGGATGACTGGTCCCACTCATACAACGAGGAAAAACAGCTTCGCTCGGGCGGTGTAACCTTCGAAACTCGGTCTTCGTCGCTGGCACTTAGGTCTTCTCGGTCTATCTCCTGGTGTTGGGCCCCGGGGTCTGATTGAGCTAAGCATAGCTAAGCTAAAGACGGCTCAGGTCTGGCCCGCTCAGCCAATTTCACCAAGTGGACCAGACTCAATCAGCCACACATGTTTCAGCCACTTAGGAACGGTTTCTCATCAGAAGCCTCCAATGATCAGCGAGTAGCTCGTTCTGCACCTGGTCCAAGAGCGCTTTCAGCGCTGGAACGTCGTCCGTCTCGTGCTGGAGCAAGTCAGCCTCCTGAGTACAGCCGGGTCTTGGAAACAAAAGAGGCATTCTCTCAATATGAGTTCAACTGAGCTCGTACAACTGGATCATTCATGATCCTTCTCTTTCATTTCCTCTTGCGCCGGCCAACGACGTTCGTCTGCGGCAGCACTAGGTCATTCTCTCAAAACAAGTCTCCCCAACTCCCAACTCCATCTCCCACAAATCACAGAGTCATCTCCCCAACTCCATCTCCCAACTCCATCTCCCACATCGCCAACAGAATCACTTGTGGCTCCTCTGGCCAACCGCTGCCGTCCGGCCGGATGGCCAAGTCCAACCACTTCTCCAGCGCCTGGAAGCGCTCCCACCGCCGCGCGTAGGGCGCATGCTCCAGCGGCAAGCGGCGAAACATGGCGGGCGAAGCGCCGAAAGGCAAGGAGTCCAATCGATGGTTTCGTGGAATGGGCACCTAGCATTACGTCACCTCCCCCAGTTTCATCAAGCCCAGCTCGAGCCCCCAAGACTAAACCAATTAGTGCAATCTCTTTCCTCCAGCACTTGGGGTGGAAAGTAGGTCCCTCGTCTAGAAGAGAATTCTCGTGAAGACACCTGCTGCCCCCCTGATCTCTCGTGCACACGAGCATGGCTGCATGCCGAGACCAGATTATGCCCAGATTTCATGCGAGCCACATCAAGCATAGACATGAGTCAGTCGGGACCTTAACTGGGCCCAATGAACTCCCTCGTGTGCAATCAACCGGGTGAGTGAGGGTTTCCAGCAAATAGTTGACAGTACTCATATACATGTATATATATATATATACATATACACATAACCAACTAAATAAACAAACAAGTATGTAGATATATATGCAAATCTAATCAAATCTATACCCTCCATGCACATATATAAACTTTGGTCTCTAGCTCTACTCACCCGCCAAACTGAACACTTGCACAAATTATGGCACACCACATGCCACAAGTCTCTGCAGGCGGAGTTGAAGCTCATGGCCCATGATATCGTATTCATGCGTTTGATCGGTTACAAGTACGCATCTAACTACATATTTTGTTTTCAGCAATTGTCTTGCTGAGTTTCACTCTTCAAGAGGTTTGCACGAGAAGATTTGTGGCATGACTTGCCATTAGGTTGTTGAGCCAAAGCTGTTTCGCACATTCTCTCAAAACACCAAAGCAAGAAAGCCCAAACCAATTCTTGATTGGCTTCGAACGAAAAGTCATCACAGCCTCAAATTCAATTCTAGATTCTAGAAGCTTGATCATGCCCCCAACATCTCCCAAGCACAAAAGCACGTGAACACTCCGTGAACAAGTTGGAGAGAGTCAAAACCATCTGCCCTTTTCCGCCATGGTGACGGCCCTTGAGGCAAAGTTCAGGGTAGATGTCCAGGCGCGGTCGGTCGGTCGGTCTGTCTGTGTGTACTAATTTGCCAAAGATGCTCAAAAAGGTGATATATACTCATTCACTAATCTAGCCAAGGCATGTGATTCTCAAAAAACATTGTACATTACTGTGCAAAAGTGATGGATGGATTGTAGGGACCTCCGCTTCTTATAATGCTAGAAGATCGACTGGCTAGTCCCCACAACAAACGCCTGGCACGTTTTCGAAAGGATATGATTCTTTTTCTAGTAAAGATCCCAAGGACCCCACAAGAACCCAAAAAGCAACCGATGATTTATGCAAATTTCAATTGTGTGATTATGTGCCGAAAAGAAGTACAACGTTAAAGTATGTTAAAATTATATAGAGTACACCGGTTTTCAGAATTCCAGGTGCTGCTGAGCAAACTCTATCCACCGGCCTCATCTCCAAATGCTCGCGGCCGGACCAACTGCCTCTTGAATTTGCCCATTTCCCACTCCAGAAACACCCCAAATGGTCTCAGGAGATGGTACCCCCAAATGCTTCGAAGGTCACGTCTTCTGCAGCAGCTCTGCAGCTTAGTTCCGCTTGAGCTCCTGGACATCCCCCTCAAAAAAAACACAGCTGCGTCAACGAATTGACGCCAAGTTCCAGCACAGCTTCAACAAACGGTGCCATTGGCCACTTATTGTTGCCCACCCACCACCCCACACCTGCATGGTGCAGGGTGACTCGTGGGCATCTCCCGTCATCAAGAACCTCTCGGTTGGTCCAGGGGCCTCGTGCTGGTCACCCTCCGAGTTGGTCTTCAACTGGGGTACCCCTATGCCCTTTTTGTGGATGAACAGCTGCCGTTGGCATGCAACATGTTGAAAGAGACTCCCTCATATATCTCCGACCAGACTCCATTGATAACGGTTCTTGCTGATACTTGGTGTTCATAGCTTGGTAAGCAGGATGCTCTCCAAATCTCTTGAGACATATTCTTTGATTGACGGTTTTTTCCCGTGGCATGTGTCACGGACCAGCTCAGGCAGCTTTCTCCCGGGTCCGAAGGCTTCGAAACGAGTCGGGCAGACGATGCCGTTTCATGAGCCGGACGATGCACATCAGTGAAGGGACGTGAAAGGGGGGCTGAGGACTGCAGCCAGGCCGGATTTCAGCACCCGGCTGGTCGTTGGGTCGTTTGGTTCGCGCCAGCATGCATCCAACGTGCCAGTGTCTTCAAACGTGGGGCAAACGAGACCATGAAACCAACGGCAGGTCGCCTGCACGTCCCGCGGGTTGGGCCGTTTGCACGGCCGATTTGGTGAAACCAGAAGGTCTAGACCAGCGGAGATGGATAGAAGCTCCAACCAATGGTCCTATTGTGGAAAGACTCCTGTTGTGATGCATCACGTAACCCCTCTTCTGTGACATGCTCATGCTCCATGTTTTTAGGACCTCAACTTCGATCTGGAATCTTATTGAAGTCTAGTCACAGTCGTTTGATCAAGCACACGCCGTCCGGTCCAGTTGGAGGCAGAAGAACAAGTCTTCCACGCCGAGATTGTGACTTCCAGGTGCCTACCTTCGCTACAAAAAAAAAGAGATCTGCTAATGCCACGAACCGCTTGACCTGCGGCTCACTTTTGCTAGCTGTTCGCTCCATTCGCTCCTGCCAGCTGAGGAAGGAGCGAATAAACATCGGATGAACGCTGCAGTGGAAAAGAATCAAGTCACGTAGATCTTATATTGGATGGCACATGAACTTACATTTGACCCCGCTAATCCAAACCAAATTCCTTACATCATCATCGATATCTGGCTTCGATGGATCATATTCCTGGGTTATCCTGTTCCGCTTGAACATTGGTATTCGCATGGGCTGGGTCAAACGCAGGTTACCCCTCTGTCAAACAAACACAAAACATATCCAAAAGTGGCTGCATGTAGCTGCTATAAATGTTACAGTGGATTGAGAGGTTCGCTGGCACTGGCACCCCAAGATGTCTTTGATCTAGGGGTCCACTACTAAACCACCGCACCTTCGGGTAACTTGTGCCATCTACTCCTCTCAATTCACTGTACATGGATGTTCATCTTAATACCCACCCTTTTGGGAGGGACCTATTGGGGGGGTCCACGGCCCTCAGCCTTTCTTCGCTCCCCCACACCTCCTGGCTCCTGGGCTCTGGTCCACACCGGTCCCAGACCCGATGTTTTTTTCAAAAAAGGCATGGATTGATCACCGAACTCACCGTGAACTCACCCAAAAACAACCGCGATCTATCCGATAAATCTATCCAAACTCACCTGGTTGGGCCCAAGTGGATGATGATGGTTCAGTTGCAGGCCTTGCTCAAAAAAGAGTGATAGACATTATATGATTCTACTGACTGCTGCAGGTAATGACAGACCCAAATCGAACCCAAGATCACCCCTGATCTATTCCAGGTCTCACCTGGCTTCCCAACAAGGATCAACAAGGTGTTCCCAACGCTGGCAGGACCGGCTTCGCGGCTTCTTCTTCCCCCGCACCCCCGCAGGGGTGTCACCACGCCCCAGGGGTGTCGCGTGTGTGTCCTCGTTCGCTCGACCTCGAGGGACGAAAAGCTGGGGACGAAGGACGAATGCGAACGTGTTCGCCCGGGAAAGGACCATCATCTCGTGGATTGCTCATGGATTTCTCAGAGGGTTCCCTGTTTTCCAAGAAACCAATGGAAGTGGAGAAGTCACCTCAGGGGAACGTCGTCTTTCCAGGGGCCATGTGCCACTTCCATGATTGTTGGAGGGAGGGTATATATTATATATATATATAGTTGATTAGTTCAAGAACATGGGAAGAACCATGAGCAAAGAATAAGAACATGTTGACGAAGAACTTTGTAGTTTTCTGATTTTGTGTGGCTTCGGAACAGCTGCGGTGGAAGAGAAGGGTCTCCAATTGGCCTTCTTCGCAGCAGGCATCTTCCCTGCACTCCCGGAAACGAAAATGGACCCTGAGAAGGGCGCCCTGAAAGACTGTTCTCTTCTACATCTTCTACAAACCGGTGGTTTTCAGGGTCCATGTGAGTCTGCAGGTTCTCAAGATTGGGAAGTTGAGAAGTGCCACATCCGGTCTTTGGGTGGGCTTTTCTTCTTCACCCGACCAGTCTACACTCACTACACCCAACCCTGGTGGCAAGCAGGTCAGTCTACACCCTCCGCACCGTTGACGGTGCTGCACACGGATATACACATTCCTTTTTGCTCGAGCGCAGCGTCCGCCATCGCGGTCTGTGTCGCCCAAGCGCGGTCGGCTTCGCGTTGCGGAGGTTCTTCACGTCTGAGTGATGGGGCTACAGCCAGGCTATTGATATCCATTGCAGCAAAATGTGTCCACATGTGGTGACATCAGGCGGCAAGATCTGGGCATCAACACAAACAAACAAATAACAGCAAGGCACTTCTTACACATGGTTCTGACTATGCGGATCTTGGGGCTGGCGCAATGTACATATTTATGTACAGTACATATACGGTACGTACTATGTGCTATCGTACGTGCCATATAATATATAAATACAAGAGTCACATATATATATATATATATATACCCTCCCTGAAACAATCATGGAAGTGGAATGCAGCCTGTTCATAGAGGAATTCAGTCTTGCAAGGGGCCTTGTTCCACTTCCATGTTTGTTGGATGGAGGGTATATAAACACAACAAAAAGAACACCATCAACCCTCAGGTCCAGCGTAGCTGAACATCTTGTTCCAAATGAGTTGGATACCCCATACCCATCCATACGCCTCGTTTCATGTGGATTGGGCCTTGACAACCCTACTTTGGCTGAAAAGACATGCCAGCAAACGTTGAGGTCCTGTCGAAGTCCACAAAATGTGGCATAAACATCGTATCTTGGGAATCCCCCTCTGGAAGCTCCTCGAAACGCTGGGCATTGATGCTGAAGAGATGCTCTCAGATTGATCCGGGAACGACACCAAAATATCGTTGGCTTGCTGCGGTGGCTTGATTTTTTGTATCTAAAGCATTTCAATCTGGTCTGAGGTCTGAGGAGCGTGATCCTGACAGTTCAGCAGTTCCGGCGTTTCTCTCCAGCATTGCCCGGGATGAAGTCTGCTCTGCGAGGCTTAGGGAAAGCTCGCGAGCTCCGAGCCGCTTCCGGGTCACTGCTTCGTGGAACGAATGGATCACCTTGGACTCAGTGCACGAGGCAGAACGAAAGACAAAAGTCCGAACTTGGCTCGGTACTCCTTTTCACTGGCGGTGGGTCCGCGCGAGCACGTAACAGTAACACGTGCTTCTTTCTCTCAGGTCCACCAGTGAAAATCAACCAACTAGCAGGAAGTTTGGAAGTTTCCCTTTTTTTCACCCTTTTCCCTTCAAAGCCAGTTATGCAGCTATGCATCTTAAGGGTCGACATCAAACATGGTCGATGGGTTAGTGTCATCCACAGATATGCTATATGACAACGGAAAGGATCAATCCTATCTCACCGAGCCAGCCGTTGCAGGCCCCTTGGATTCTTACTTGCAGAGTCCAAAAATGGTTTGACATGTTTTGACCTTCGTTCTTCTGATCTCTCCATTGGCTGGCGCTATTTGAGCAATGACATCCTACGAAATTGAACGAGGACCGCATAGCTTGGGAAGCTATAGGCATCCTCAAGTAGATGTCATGTGAACCTGACCCGCACCGTCGCGTCAGAGCCTGGTATCGATCTCGTGCTCGTACTCCACCTCGACCTTGCCCCTCCGCTTCTTCCGCGCCGGCAACGAGACCTCCTCGAGGTCGTTCATGCCTCAGCTCCGATAGAAGGGCAGTCGGACTGGCCGATAGAAGGGCGGCCACCTGGTCACCCTCCAAAAGAACAAACCCCTTATTTTGGATTCCGGCGTCCGGAAGGGGCTATTTTACAAAATATGGCGACACCGGTCAAACACGTTTTTCTCATCTCCAAAACCACCCCGGAACCCAGCCGTCAAAACCCTTTGGATCTCAAAGGGTCCAAGGTCGCCCTCCACTTCCACCTCTTCCACCTGGCCGGAGCTGTTCACCCGGTCACCCGGTCGGAAACGACGGCCCCCCCGGTCTCCTGGCGTCAAAAACGGTGGGTGGGTTTCCAGGTTGAACGATCCATCCTCTTATATACACTCTGACTCACTAACATGGGAAGTGGAAAACCACCTGTTTGTAGACGAACATAGTCTTCACAGGGGCCATTTTCCAATTCCATGTTCCATGTAAGTGAGCCAAAGTGTAAACCCTAAGCACCAACACCTGCCAGAATCTGCCAGGGTTGAAAATAGACCATTGGGGAATGATCGGGTTCTTGTCATCCGTTCTTTTAGAAGTATGACAGTACCATGACAGTACTATGACAGTATGGCTCCACTCAGGGCTGAGACTCAGGGTAGGTTAGCTTCATAAAGAAAATCATCAGGGAAACACCCCCTCAGCACTTGGAAATGGTCCAGAATGATGGCTGCGGCTAGCACTGCAGAACTGCGGCTGAACGACACACTCAGAACCAAGTTCACAGTGACGGTGGTGCGAATGAAGTTTGGGGTGGAAACCTTTACTGGTATCAAAGTAAATGGCACAATCGCCCAAAGTTGGTTTATATATAGACCCCCATCTAACGGACGTCTTGAGGGTTGTACCATGTTGTACCATCTACTCTGAAACCACCGTGTATTTTCTTGGGGGCTGACTGTCTAGAACAGTCAAATCTTTTCGTTACAGCGTCTCAGAAGTCTCGGCGTCCGGTTGGCCTTGTTGTCAATATCTTCCCACTCCTCATCATCTTCTCCCAAGTCCTCCACGAACTCCATATCACTCTCATCCTCGTCCTCTCGGCATGCGAGTAGCGCAAGGTTCGATGCACATCGTGGCATGTGCGTACAGTAGCGCTGTTTCAAGCGCTCCGTTTTGTCTGACATAAACAGGAGAAGACCGGTGGAAATCCACAGGAACGACCTTTCGGCCTGCTCGACCGGGTGTCTGTCAGATTCATGGCCCCAGGTGGGATGCGTTTATGAGCGTTTATACCACTATGGCGACCGTTCAGGAACCAACATCAAGTTCACTCAACATGGAAGCTCACCCCCCCCGCTGGCTCTGCTTACTCTTGGTGTTGTACAGGACCCTTTCGAGGAAACATCTGTCCTGCAGCTCTTGCTCTTCATCTTCCTTTTCCATGACGCTGTCGAAGTTCTTCTTCGGGAAGTTGTAGATGTCACCTGCCACGACTTCCCACAATGAGGTGAAGCCATGAGGTGAAGAAGTTGGAGTTCCGGTGCCTTTCACGTGGCATGAGGTCCTTGAAATATACATGAGGAGTCTACCGGGCGTGACAGCCACGGCACAACTGCGTGACAGCCACCGCGTGGTCCAAACATGTGACAAGTCTGCACGCGCATCGCATCCAACAAAAACTGCACGCACAGCTGGTGTATCGATGCTGCAAAATGGGCATCTTGCTCAGTCAGCAAACGCTGTTGGCACCACCTTCATAGCAACAAACAAAGTCATCCAAACATCCAAACAACGTCCTCAACACAAACCGATCTAGATCGAACTCCGACTATCAAAACAATTCAATACATATCAAAGTAGCACTATGTAGCACTCAGACCGTTTGTAAAACTCTTGCGCCATTCCAAACTTGTGATCGCAACAGTTGCGACACCAAGGTCCCTTACACAATCCCAAAGACATGTCTCTTCAACCACGCCCTCCAAACGAACACATCCTCATGCCAAAGTGCCATAGGTGCCCTGCTTCAGCCGCTCCAGAAGCTCTCGCTCGATGGCTAAGTCCACTTTGGCCGCACTCTCCGCCTGTGTGCGGCGATCGGGGCGAGCGGAGTAGCCTCTCAGCATGGCATAGTTTGGTCGGGTGAAGGTGTTTTGGAGGAGAAGATTGTTTTTTTTTGGGCCAGGCTAATTCATATTTCTGATCTCATGGCGTCCTAATTACTCTTCATTCAAAGTACAAGTCCTTTGGGGCATGTGATGTTAGCAGCTCCTGCCCAAAAAGTAGAAAGCTAGTAACAAGCACACACTTAGCTGGACCAATAGGTTGGAAAACTCCCTCCTGAGTCCCTCCTCCCTCCTCGCTCATGTCGCACGCCTTCAACTCTCTGGTGGCTTCACGCTTCTCGGTTTTCTTCTTGATGGGCACCAGCTTGGTACCCCCTTTCAAGGAAAGCTTCCGCATCCTCGACTGAGAGGTCGCGAGACCGTCTAAGCGAGAGTTAGAGTCTAAGCGAGACCAAACGAGACTTCGCGACGGGTGGCGGCTCCAGTTTTGGGGGATCCACCCTGGTGAAAGACAATCATGGACCTCCCTACCCTGGGCAACAAGCCCTAAATCTTTCTGGAATACCGTGGAGCACTTTTGTAAGTCTCCAGTGGGTTCAGGGTCTGTTACGCCTGTGGGTGGATAGAATTCGGCACCAACTTGGTAACGATTGATTAGTATTGTCTAAACATGGTCATTAATCCCAGGATGCCCCAGGTTCCCGAAGTGCACGGAGAGACATGACACTCTGTCCTGATCAACATCTGCCTCATTTTGGTCAGCCTCTGCTTGCAACGGTTGATCACACGATCTGGCCAAAACTCCTGAGAGCCGTGAAGCACACAAGGCGATAGGCGGAAGGCGATCGACGAGCAAAGCAGGATCAAATTGTACAATTCAAATCCCATGCAGTTTTTTAAATCAAAATCTTACATCAGAACTTCCATGAATTTTCTGTAGATTCAAGTTGCCTCACCTGTCGCCTCGCAGCTCTCCAAAAGGTCTGTTCTCTGGTCCAAAAAGCTTCAGCCGGTCCGGTCGTGAAGTCCGGTCCGGTGCCATCTACCAAGGCGCTAGATGCTTGCTGATCTGCTCCAGGGCCTGTAAGAAGTTCCGACTCAGCTTCACGCGCTCCCACAAATTCCTGACGTCCCACGCGGAAAAAAATGCCTTCCAGACCTGGTCTGACCGATCTCCTTGAGTAGTTCTTTTGTTTCTTTTTTTTTTGGGTATGACCAATTCCAGCAAAATGAGGTCATTGACCTGTAGGGAATTGATTGAACTTGTACTCCCTGAAATTGATTTGACTTGGTTAAAGATGGATGACATGATGACATGCCCACTGCTATCTGAAGAAGACCATGCTATCTGAAGACCAACGAGGTGGTGCCATCCAAGATAGCCCATGGCCCATGCTCATTTCACCGTCACGAGTCTATCCATGGAAGTCTGGCCAAATTGACCGGCATGGTCAAAGTGCGAAGTGCGGTGAGTGGTGAGTGAAAACAATGTGAACACCTCACCACCCAACCCATGGTTTAGGTTGACATCATTTCACATCCCTTCTTTTCAGGCTTCTGTTCATCTGACCGGTTTCGGGTGCCCCTGTGCCATGACCCACAGCGACGTCTGAAGTCGCCCTGAAAACCTGAAATGATCTCAAGTGGATCGAAACCACGATCCCAACGCGGTGCAGCTGTGCCAGTACTTCTGTTAACAAAACAAAAACATGATTCAGCTGATGCCGATTCTTGGGATAGTTCTGCATGATTCGATCGACCAAAACCACCAGGACCATCCGACCGTCTGGGTGTCCTGTTTTTCAAATCAGTAGGTAGTGCATGGATGGGTCCAGGTCTTTGTTACTACTTGTTTAATCATATATCGTATATCACATGCCAGGACCCGACTTCACAGGTCACCACCTGCGACTCTCTTGACTACTACAAAAGCCATTTCGGCGACCTGTAGAGTCAGTCAGGTGCTGGTACGTCGACGCTCGGTCCCGTCCCAGCATCTTGGGTGAATGCGCCCGCTCCACCGTCTTCATGTAGAGATAATTGATGCCTTCCTCCTCGATGATGGTGGCATATTGGCTGTTCGCCAAGGGGCAACTCATCTTGTTGCACAATCCATTCACGTTGTAGGGGTTTCGGCCTCAAGAGTGGGTTAGAGTGGGTTAGAGTATGTTATAACATGGTTGTGGTGGCTGGGTGACATGAAACACCTAGGGAAGAATCCGTAGCCGTAGATATTCTATAATTTGAATGCCATGACCAAATTAAAGTTAGGCCCCTGGTTTTCGTAGGAACACCTGGACGACCCTTCAAATTCCATCAAGATGCTGTACTGGCGCAAGGTGCATGACAGGCATCCAGCCATTCTTCCCACTCAAAGGTGGGGGTATTTTGCAGATGTGTGCTAATTGAAGGCCCGCTTGCAAGTGCATTAAGGCATCATACAAGGCTATTTTGCTCCACACTCCCTGGAAGTCAAGTGGGGCTCAATTGAGCGGCCCTGCCTCCCACGCGATCCCACGCAGACTTCCCGAAGATGTCATGTCCAATGTCCCTGAGGTTCTTCCCACACATTGTGACCACCTGTTCATCCCGTGCGTCCTCCATCATCCGGTCACCGAACAGACACCGGCGCCTTCCGTTTTGGGGGGCTCCCCAAGGTCACGAACTACGGTCCGCGAGTGGCGATGCAGGTCGTCGATCGAACGTGTGGAGCGTCACCCCACCGAGCTGCAGAAGTCTTGCTTTGGCTCCTCGCGTAGGCCGCGCATGCGCAGGCGCGGGCGAAGGATCACAAGTTGATTCGCTTTCTCTTCCTTTTCGCCTCTGGAAGGGACATCACAGTGCTTTCATGTTCCCTTCATCACCTTCGAAAAGGACACGTGGGCACATGGAATTGCCACATCTGCGGGGGGGTCCAACGAAGGACGCATGAACTTGATACCCGTTGAATCATGCCAAAAGGTTGAACTCAGGATTCTATTCTATGAAGTCCTTTGGGACTGAGGGGATTTCCTTATATTTTAGTGGCCCAAGGTTGGATGCAAAACACTCAATCTTTATTTTAGCTTTTAAATTCTGGACCAAGGCGTTTCTAAAGTCCTGGGATTGAGGTTGGTACCTGTTTGTAAGACATCAGTATGATTCATAATTAAATCCGGTCATTGATCCTGACTAAGACTTTTCGATTCAGAAAGAGCTTTATTTTTTGAATGAACCGTCTGTACTTGAAGAACCGTCTGAACTGCCATCTCGATTTGCCTTTTTTGATCCTTTTGCCGAACCAGGTCCTCTCTTTTCACTAAGAAAACTAGATATATCTAATATATCTGATTTTGCAAGCCAACAAATGCTAATGATGCAGCTGGCCGCGGGCAGCATCATTCAAACCACGTCAACTCAAAACGGACGAACAAGAAACCTTCAATGCTCTCTTTCCACTACGCCTTTACCAAAGCATGTTCAAATTCTGGTCAGCAGCAAATTTGCGAAACAGTAAGTGGCTTGGGTAATCGATAAGGATGCTAAAATTGTCACGTGCCTCCGTTTAACTCCTTAGTCACTCGACGGTAGTTTAATGAAATCCCACCTTGACCTCCAACTGGAAAGCAAATCCATTTATAGAATCCTGTGTCTAAGCTATCATGTGGTCTTTTAAGTCAGTCATATCATGAGTTTACATACTTTTCTGAAATTCTGGACAAAGGGTAATTTTGGAATTCCCGATAAACAATTTACTCGTTATGAAGTCCTGGACATACGTGATTTACAAACAAAGAAATTGTAATATTTATATAGTGCGGCTAAGCCGCCACATTTTAGTATGGATTACCGCACGGGTATAACTTGATTGAACTTGTTCCTTCAGCTTCGGTCCAGAACGCGCACGCGCCGTCCTTCCATCTCACCTTGAAGGAACAAAACCCATTCTCGCCCAAACAGGCCTCGGGTCTCGTCACCGGAACTCCTTTGCTTTGGGTCAAACGCCGGAGTGACCTCCACCCCTTGGCATGGGAAGCTGTGGATGCCACGGCCCCAATGCCTCGGATGCCTCGGCTGCCTGGTGAACTCCAGGACAGCATGATTCCGGGGAGTGTACACTTTGACTCACTAACATGGAAGTGGATGGCACCCCCTGTTTGTAGAGGATAGTCGTCTTCCAGAGTCTTCCAGGGTCCCATTTTCCACTTCCATGTTAGTGAGTCATAGTGTAAATCTCACTTTCTTCCAGAAAAACGAGGGAGTCACTACTCACTACTCCACGTCTTGTTGATTCAGAATCTCCGGATCTGCCTCTAAAATCGAGCTCTAGATTCTAGCATATTGAGCAAGACCCTCTTCATGCAACATATGCATGTGTGCGGTTCCAAGATCGGCAACACTGATGATACTGATGGGTAAAATGGTGATACTGACAGGTAGAATCTTTATTCACTGCTTCGGATATGAGACATAACAAAAACATACAGAAACACAACACAGGAGGCGAATGGAGGCGGCAAGTATGGATCCTCTTCATCTGAATGGTCGAACTTGGCAACTGCAACGTTCCCGAACCTGGATTCTTTTCCTCTCTCATCTTGATGCACCCCAACCGAACATGATCATCTCAACTCCCAACGATGCCACAAGGCCCAAATGGTCTCGTCGTTGTGCATGGCTGATCACAGCAGGTAATCGGCTGATCGCCCGACGGTCCTAGAGTCGTAGACAAGACGGGGGTTTCTTTTCACTGATGGAGGAGGGTGCAAGCACGTCTCAACTTCTTGAGCAATGAGTTGACGGGGGGTGCAGATTACTAAGAGATCTCATGACCAAGGGCTTATTAGTTCAATATCTAGCAGCTAGCATGAGTACTATCTGAACAAGACCACTGCAGGACTGTAGGGTGTTTGAGACTGTGTGTCAACAGCTGGTCACTACCAATACTGCGGTGCATCGAATGATTGCCAAGCCAGTGCTGAGCAAAAGGCATGTGCGCGGCGCATGTGACTATGATCTGAAATCGACACAATCCTAAGCTTTGGGCACGGCCTCTTGAACAAACCGCGGGGGCACCTGCAGTGGCTGCCACCCTCTCCTCGATCTCTGGTTGCTTGGCTGTGTAACGAAACCGAACCGCCTCACACCAACGGCACGCCGGCGCCACCCGACGGCCGAGCCCCCGGTGTGGCGAACCAACGCGGCGCCGGTCCGTCGGTGGAACCTGGGACCTTGGAGCTTCACAACGAAGACCCTGGCTGACTCTCATGTTCTGACCCTTCTCAGGCCTATAGAACAAACTTGGGGTGAACAAGAACCAAAACATATCCCGTTTCACTGCCGGATTCCAGGCGAGTCTCCGAGCGGCTCTCGAGACTCTAGGCCCCTAGGCTTCACAAGCTCCTCAAGATTGCACTTCACAAGCTACTCACCAATGGGTTGACAAGTTGTCAAGGCCAACCAGGAAATTGCCAATACTTAGAGCAACTTTGCCATGCACGTCCTTGTGGCTTTGCCATGCCATGCTTGCACCCCCCCCGACCCCCGCTGGTTTCCGGCTCCGAACGCGTAAGTCTGGGGCGTCCCAGCTCCGAAGATGCCGAGGTCGAGGCGTCCGTGGCGTCCCGAGCACGTTGGACTTCCTGGTGCGACCCCTCGGCCCGGTCAGTCTGAAGGTCCACCGATGGCCCTACTATGAAGTAGAGTTGTCTCACAAACGTGGACAGCACTCATGATATCATATATATAGAATATTATATGATACCTACATTATATTACTGTATATATATATATATACTAGTATATCATTATATATACAAACACGTTCCACACAACTTAGACCCTATATGGATCCTGTCACATGCTCATGAAACCAGATTGGGTCTGGGTCATGGCTCTCGGATTCAATTAGACGCGCCTTAGACTAGCCTTAGACCCTCTTCGAACAAATCCAGCAGAAACCGACTTTACCGCCCCCCCTCACACATGCTCCACCTACCAGCTTTTGGTTAGAAGCGAGACTCTCCCAACCTCCCAAACAGCAGCCTTGGCACTGAAAGAAGGTTCTCCATGTCCTTTTCTTGCTTTTCCTTGGTTCTTCCACACATTTTCCCTTTTTCCCCCTGGTCCGCCCCCCCCGGCTCGTCCACGGACTTCCGCTCGTCCTCGCGGAGCATCCGTGGCATCTTGGACTCGGGTCTCGGGCGTTCACCCTGAGGAGCAACGTGTGTCGTGCCGTGACTGGAAGCGATGGGAGGGTCCAGGGTCCGGGGTGGGTGATGTAGGTTGGGGGGGGGGAACTTTGGAATCTATAGAATGGGTATGAAGAACGGAGAGTGAACATGTAAGGACTCATTGGACTCATGTTGTTGTGCACCATTTTCTTGACTTTCTTGGTAACTTAGGATGTGGTTCAAGATACAAATGAGATGCATGACCCTTCATGCCGTCGGTGTCAATCAAACTAGGAGGCTCCTGATGAAGGAGGTTTCTACCTTTGCCCAAGGAGTCAACGATCTCGTCACCTCTCAGGTTTGAGACATGTGCAAAAAAGATGCCAAAAGACCTCCAAGACCTTCACCAAGGCCCAAGTACCAGGAAGAAGCGGAACAAACACCACCCAAACGCAAACACTTTGCACTCTGTTCAGCCCCACTTGACCGGTACCTCGTTCTTTTGCTTGTTATGCATCTTACATCCCTCTGTTTCATCGGATAAACCGGCCAAAGCCGACGACTTGTGCCTAGTTGGCAGATCCAGTTCTATCCTCATCTTCTGGCAGCAACACCGGTGCGACCGCGGATGACGCGGTCTGGGCGGCCGGTCGGTCCCGGCCTGGTCAGACTTCTGACTGATCCGCGTGTAGAGGTCTTTCATCAAGGTCTTTCGCAGCACAGCCCGCTCTGCCGCGGTCCCGATGTCCTCGCTCCCCCATGCCATGCGCTGTTCACCCCGACTGTTCAGCCTGAGGTTTCTCGGGGAGCGCGAACTGTTGTTCGCTGCGGACGGGTCAACTAGGAAGACTCATCGACTGAGAATGACTGAGCCACCTAGACTTCTGAGTGGGTCTTGATAGATTGACAGGTATAGGTCTTCATGGTCCTTCTGAAACTTGAACACTTGTGTGAAAAGGACTGTGTGAAATTCATTTTTGCAGCTCGAGTTGGTGCGTCTCTAACTCCAATAGACCAAGTCAAGCACTTGAGCCTGGAGACGACCGCAGAACGGTGGAGTCGAGACAAAAACGGAAACGGAATGGGCCAGCGCCCGCCTCCCGCACGGTTCTCTGACCTCCTCGACCCCCGCCCACACTGTCAAATTTGTGGACTTGCTTGTCCATGAGGACGCTACAGTGTAACTCTCCCATAAAGTTATCAGTAAGTCTTGAAAGTCCGAGAACCTCACGAAGACCTCACGAAGTTCATGTTGAGCAAAAACACGTTGGACAGGTTGGACCATTCTGATTCTGTATATGATTCATTCTCACTTGGCCACCAAAGGCCCCAGTGCAAGTTCCGAGAGCCACCTCTCCAAGGTTCCACGGAAGCACCATTTGGTCGCCAATACTACCCGCATACATAGCAGTACGACCTCTGTCGTTTTCTACATTGATTCTATTCTATGCGATCATTCTGTCTTCATGACACTCATGCACAGAACTGAAGGACATGGCCCGATTTAGAGTCGATCTTATGCTGATCAAGCTTGTCAAAGCTGTCTTTGTTTGCATCAAAAAAAACCTACAGTACTAGTACGTACTGTCGTACACTGTAGTCATGTTGAGAACAAATGATAAGTAAAAGTGCCCTGCCAGCCACTGACGTTTTTTGGCTGCGCACGACGCGGTTTTGGCGCAGCTGCCCAAGCGACAGCTGCTTCTCATCGGCCCCGGGGCAAGAGATGTTGGCTGGCGATCTACTTGGTTTAGGCCTGAGTAAGGCTATCCCGGCTATCCCTATACAGGTCCAAAGACCCAGTATATCTGGTCCTGTACCTCAGCAAGTAGGGGTTTTATATGACCAACTCAGGTAAAATGCGGTCTTTGACTTGTGCTTTGGTATGAATAGATCATAAGCTGGACCGGTCTGAGGCCACTGATAACCTCCCCAACCGTCATCTTGCCCACCTATGCGCGTTGCAGCGGCCGTGTGACCATGAATTCATGAAGTGAGGAAGCAAGCAACGCTGGTCACACAAAACATTTTCTTCCAACGCACTGGCAATTTGGAGATGTTGACTTCATCATGATATCTTCGGGACACGCCTACAATCGTTGATAGGTTTGAATACTTGATGGTGAGGAACGTCTTGCTGCAGGGGCATCGGCCACATGGAAGAATGCCCATTTCATACCATTTCTGTATAATGAACACTTAGCAACTAATTCGTGTACAAATCAGGCCGCTGGCATTCGAAGGTGGTGCACTCCCAATGGTCTTTCCAGCAAACCTGCTTGGCTCCCTGTCTTGACTGGACATGTGCATCCGAGTCCAAACAAAGCACCCGAACCTATGCGAATCATGCTCCAGTTCGTGAGCACACGATTCAGTTCTTGTTGCGGGTGTGAAGTCCAGACTCTCTGGGGATTTTCTTGATCAACAGCAATCGATTCGACCCACATTCCTGTCATGGGGTGGCCGTGGATGTGTCTTCCTTTTGAACTCCAAAAGGCTCGAGTTTATTCATGTTTATTCCCACCTACCTGGCTGTTACTAGCACCCTTTTTCATTGTTCCATTATTTCTCCCCACACCCCGCTTCCTAGCATCTTCGCCCAAAAGGAGACCTCGCAGCCGCTCCAAAGCGACGCTCTGCGCCGCTCTGCGCCGCTCTTCACAGCGAGATCATCGCCTTGGACACCGGCGAGCCCGGCTTCGCCCCGAGCGCCGGCGCCTTGGCCTCCGCCGGAGGCTCCGTTGCGTCGCCGTGGTGCTCCGGCGCGTCGTGGGGCGAAGCGGGGCGCCTGGGCGAGACGGTCTGCGGTGAGACAGTAGGCGACAGTAGGCGTGTGTGTGATATGTGGACGGCTGATCATCCCTCCACGCGAATTGAACATCTAATATCATCTAATCCCGTGGACTTGATCAAAGACATCATCATTATATAATTAAATGATGATTGTATAATTGTTATTGGTTTCATCCAAGGATGCGAATCTCACGAATTGATCAATCCATGTGTGATTTAAGGAGAGAAGGAAAACGACCGATGGATGCTTGGGCCAATGATCCCATTGTTTCGCTCCGCGATCCTGATGGACTTCAAATGGTTGTGCCGACACGACAAGAACAACCCCCCTGGCTTGTAAGTTCTTTTCAGGTGCATGTTGCTTCTCTTTCCAATAATCTCTTTTTCCAATCATCTTTCTGTATAAATCTCTGATGTCCGTCCCATGTTGTCAAACTGTGGCACTTGGTGGGAACAGCTGAGAATGCCACCGTCGTGTGTCTCGCCACCACAAGAGGATGCAGCTCAGCAAGACCAGAATGGCAAATCCTCCGGGTGTTTCGCATGGTGCAGGGGAAACAGGTGCATGTTTTAACTAACTTTTTGAGTGGGCTTCTCTGTGCCCGTGCAGTGAAAAGGGTGCATGGCGATATTAGTTCATACGGGAAAAAGAATGTGAACCTCGATGTTTTTGGCTGTTGCCTTTCAGCGGGAAGAACACGACCCACCGGTCGGTTGGAAGGAAAAGTCACCAGAACGTATTGTTGAGCCTCAAAAAACACCTATCACAAACCCAGTT